CAAAAACCCACCAAGCAAATCTTGACAGGGAGGCGGGCTCAAAGTGAAGAAGACGGAGAAGAAAAATGAGTAAGGGATTTGCGTGGCGGGTTAGGGTTTTGGAGAGGGAAGCAGGCAGACTGAGAAGTCTGAGATAGATCTATTGGACAAGCGGAATTTTGGATTTGAATTTTGCAGCGAGAGAGAGAGAGAGAGAGAGAGACAGAGAAATAGGAGGGAGACTGTGAGAGAAGGCGCGCTTAAAATGGGGTTTTATTTTGTTTTTCTGTTTTTTTCTCCAAAACTATAAAATGGGCTGCTGCCAAGGTTGTCAAACCGGTTTATACCGTTATGCCGGTTTGGCAAGTGGAATGATATGATCGGTGGTATAACCAGTTTGTGCCGGTTCATGCCGGTTTAAAAAGTGTAAAAACAATTAATATTCAATGTATTTAATCATATATAAAACATATTTGTGGACAATTAAGTTACAATCCAACAAATATCATCAACTTTTAACTATTAAATTCATAAAATGAATGATAAATTAATTTTTATATTAATTAAATTCATTAAAATGATGTTAATTTGTTTAGAATACATAAATTGATCATACCGGTCATACCGGTGGTGTCATGCCGATTTTATGACCAGCATAGGTTGAACCAGGTTCAACCGGGTGGCATGCCACCGGCATGACAACCATGGCTGCTGGCCTGCTGCCGTCCCGTGGCGTGTGTGTGATTATCATTGATTAATTAAATAGTTAATTTGTTAATTGAAATCTTAAAAAAGTTATCAAAAGAGGCCCAATTGAGCACGTGAGATGAGAGAGAAGTTGCAGTTTTTCCCTCCCTAAGCCCTGGTGGGGCGCGCTCTATCGTTTCAAATTCAAAGTTTCAAAAGATTCCAGGTAAGTCGAGAACTCATTTCCGCTCCCAGGCCCAGCCCCAGTACGCTCTTTGTTTTGTGTCCTTGTTTCTTTGCCCACCGAGTCGGGTGTTCAAATGATTACCGTGGTAATAATAAAACTAATCAAGTCTAAATTTTATTAACCATGGAATAAAATGTCTTAACCAAACCGTCCAAATTAACACAAAAATCAAATTAACCAAACCAAAGTTTAATTGGTTTGGTTAATCGGATAATCATATTAACCAAATAACATTACATTACATGAAAACAATTATCCTATTAATGAATAAAACATAAACATATGTTATTACTATCATAAACTATCATTATATATAAGCAATAATAATAAGACTAACCATCCATGATTATCATCATCATTCGAGTTAATACATCATTCATCATCTCTGCACCTAATATAGTTAGCTTACAACAAACCCTTAACACAAATATTAAATACATACCAATACCACTCATCAGGAAGTTAAAACTCTCGTACAAAACACTTAAACTATAAATAGTTTGAGATGGTTGTCATGTTATTGTACGTAGTCCTAAAGTCTAGTAATTGTCCAAAATGTTTTGGTTTAGTATATAGGCAGACCCATTTAATTTTTGATCCATAATGCTTTTGGTGTTGTGCACATTGAAATAAAATAGGGAATCACGAAAGTTTGGTTTGGTTGGTTACTTGGTTATATGGAAGTATAAAAATTTTGTATATTAGGTGTATCATTAATTGGTTAATTGGTTTCATTGGTTAGCAGTGTTGAAACCAAGCCAACCCACCTAAACCAAATAAGCTAAATTGTTTAAATTAACCAAACCAATAGTCCAAATTAACCGAATGCTACCGATTAATATGGTTACCACAGTAACCAATCCGTTTGAACGCCCCTACTATTTTGATTTCATCCGGGAAAAGCCATCTTTTTCTCATCTCTGCAATCTCTATTTGACCGATCGTTTGCCTCTAGTGTGGTTAATTCCGGCGAGTAGGGGAACCGTTCTTTCCTCAGGGGTTCAGAGGCGTTTGCATCGTGGAATGAGGCTTCGTACTGCACCACCGTACAGACCTTTTCTACGCCTCATCTTCGTTCGCCGCGTTCATCATCACTTGCGCAGGATCACCGCCCAGCGTTTTGACAACGCGATCAAAAATCGGGTTTACATGCAAAACAGTCATGGCGCCCGGTGCTCGTAGGTGTGCCATTAAGTCAAAAACAGACATTTCATTTCCGTTTTCTCGACTACGCATCAAAACGATATTTTCACCTGAAACAGCCAAAAGTGTTTGTTTTCCCCCTGTATGGATTCTTTTGCCGTTATGTTTATCAGCGTACGCATAGACGTTTGCGGCTTTGAATGCGGTTGAAATATCAATACCCAGATCAGCTAAAGCCTTAGCGACTGCAAATGCTGCAAAGTTGAAAGCCCTGTAAACTTATCTTTCATATCTTTTTCATCGCCATCAATGCCAACGATGAGTTTCCGGCGAAACCTGTTCTGGAGAGTGGCATTTGAAATGTCCGCTGCCTCCAACACTGCCTTTGTCAGAAAACCGATGTTGCTATTGATCATTTCATTTTCCTATTGTCATATCTTTTCCCGACTGCGACCAACGCTTGAGTTCCGCCTCAATTGCATTGAATTGAAGCGCCTTCTTGTAGTTGCAAGGCACTCATACTTGTTGCGTTCTCTCCAGCACAGCAGCCGCCAAATCCTCCGCCTCTGCCTGTGTCAAGCCATCTTCGGTTGAATGGGCTTGGATATATCCATCAATCACGGCCGAATATTGCCACACGGACATTTCAGCGATTTGCTGGGGTGTGAAGCCCATAACAGCTCCAGAACTGTAAATCGCGGCGAACCGGATTTTGCCATTTTAAAGTTCTGGCAAACTTTCTTTTTTCCGGCTTTAGCGACTTACTTTTTTGCGTCATCCTCCTCCGAAGCCCCCACAAGGGCGGCCGTTAAAACAGCCCGTGCTATGAATAATGTTTCGAGGGGGGTTGCTCTTCAACGTAATTACCGATAAGCCTACGCAATGTCGCCACACCATTATCGCTGCCCAGCCATCCAAAGCGTATGACTTCGCGGATGTCATTTGTTATCCATTCCACAGAATTCAACCTGTTTAAAATGACATAAGGCCCAACAATCAAAAGACAAGGTCTGGCTCGGATGTCACATCTTGTTCGTCAAAATTAATATAGACGATAGCATAGGCAAGACCTGCACCTGCATGGTTTGTGCTCCATCGTTCGCCGGTCCTGTTGACAAGATAAGGATCTGCAACAGATGTCATGCTGCCGGTGTAGAGTTTGATACGGATGAAGCGGGTTGTCTTACCGGAAACATGATAGCCGCGGTCAGAATTGTTGTTACCGTGAAGACTGCACCACTCTGCGTTGATCGCCACACGCGATACACTATCAATCGGAAAATCGGACAGAACAAAACCCTTTGCCAGGGTTTTTCCCGCCGCAAAAAATGCATCCTTGAACACTTCCTGTCTTGCTGTTGCAAAAAGCTCGACACGAGTCTTGCATGCTCGAGTGGTCCATATTGGACATTAAGCCGTGTTCCGGACAGATCACGCGCAGAAGACCTTTCTTTCTTTTTCAGGCCCGGATAGTTCTATGTGTGGCAAAAGACTTGAAGTCAAGTGTCAGTTCCTTGTCTTATTCGACTTCTCATTTCTTGTTACTCATCTCTGTGGCATCCCACCTGTCCTGGACATGTAAATATGCTTGAATAATAACGTGCTTGAATAAGTAAATATGCCCATGCAATGCTTCATGCTTAAGTTTAGTAATCTTATTACTCTTTATGAAAGGGTTCCCTGAACTCGACTCAACTAGCGCACTCACGGGCACCCAAACATGAACTTCCACCTGATGGGAAGATATAACATGAGCATAACTTCCACCTGATGAGAAGTTCCCTATCATAACACGAATGTCCAATTTCTTCCTTCATGTTCACCTTGATGAAGAATTTGTACAAAAAATTATGACATATGGGAATTGCATCGAGCGATTCAAGAAACATTCTTCGAGATAGAAAATTAGTGTATGATCTTAAGCGGGCAAAGATACAGTCATTTGTTGCATGCCTATAAGGCGTTGAGGTACTTGAAACGTGAACCATGACGAGACTTAGTTTTTGAAGCCAATTTATAAAGCTTGAGCTGTTTGGATTTGGTGATTTAGACTGGGTTGTAATCACAATGATGCAAGGCACTCAGGGTATTACACATTTTTCGGGCAGTCATTTGAGATCCTATTCGATTCTGGTACTTGCCCTATTAGCTCAAAGTTGAAAATACTCTTTCAAAACGCTTGCACTTGCAATTGGCCTTAGGATTAGAGGTGACAATTAGTATCCAGATCCATGAATCTAATACATCCATTAAAATATCCAACTAATCCAATCTATTAAAATCCAATTCATTTGATCCAAATTCAATTGGATTCATGGATTCGTCTGTGAATTCAAATGACAAATTATAGTTTAGTACCTATACTTCTTATATTTTACGTTTTGGTGCACAAATTTTACTTTTAGATGAAAATATCATTGGAAAATTAAGTTTTGATACCTAAAACTTTTTATTATGACATTTTAGTACCCAAAATTTTCAAAATTATATAATGGTCCAAACCTTGGATGTCATTTGGATCCATGTATCAATCCACTCATCCATGAATTCAATCTATTTGCCACCGTTTACTTAGGATCAATACTAATTTCATATTTGGTTAGGATTTAGTGTATTATGAGATTCTAGAGTTTGTTTTTTAACGTCTAGATAGTCCAAAACCATTCAATTCAATTCAATAAATACTGAGTCGTAATCTCCATTCCTCTTCCGAAAATAATGCGAAAAATGAATTAGTAAAATTCCTTCTCCACAATGTTCTCATCAATAACCAACTACTTTTACAAATTTTCGATTGGTTGTTATCTTGATTTATCCATTAATAGACAAAACAAACCAATAGTCTTTTTTTACTCACTAGATTTTTACAGCGAATCTGACGATAGAAAATTACGAATCCCCCTGCTGCTGCCATGTATATAGCATCGCAGCAAAACCTTCCATCATCAGTAGCAAATCCAACGGAAAACATCAAATAGACACAAACAAAAGCCAAGAGAATGATGATCATGAGGCAAAGCAGAGTCATTTCGGCGGTGGTGTCCCTGATTCTCTTGTCGGCGCTAATGGCGGCGACGACGACGGAGTCGACACGCATCGCGACGACGCAGCACTGGCACTGGCCATGGGGGGCCCGCACGAGGGTGACAATAAAGAACGTGATCTCGGGATGGAGACAACTAAAAGTACACTGCAAATCTGGCAACGACGATCTCCACGTTCAGGTGTTGAATCCAGGTGAGGGTTATCGTTTCAAGTTCTGGCCGAACGTCCAAGGAACCACGCTGTTCTATTGCTACTTTAATTGGGGGGAGGGACTTCGCCGGTTCGATATCTACGATTTTGACAGGGACTCGAAGCGCTGCAAGACGTGGTGCCCATGGGACATCAAGGAGACTGGGCCGTGTTTGACCAACGGGGAATTTACGTCTTGCTATCAGTGGAAAAAATAAAGCGGATATCTTTTTTTATATATAGAATAAGTTAGTGAAATAAGTAGTAGAGGTTGTTGGAGATAGAGTTATGAGGTGGGTTTACATTCTTTCACGTTTGAAATTATGGTCTGAATTTAAATAATAGACAGGATGTTGCGCGCATTAATATCGTTTCTAATGCGTCGAGAGAACAAATCTACTTTACTCCTACGAATACTAATAAACTGATTTATAGTTCGTTGACATATTAAAAATCAAAGAACAACCTACATATTAAAAGAACTACTCCCACAACCTTTTCCCTCTTAAACAAGGTAAACTAATCCTAACCCAACAAGTAAATAATAACTTCCTCAATAAGACACAGTAAACTAATATGAATATCCCTAATAACCATAATAACCCAATAATTAATTAACAAGAGAGACCCAAATAATAATTATAGACTAGGCACGTGAGTCGACCGGTGCTATAATGCACCAAGGGACTCAAGCAGGTACTCCTCTGTCGTAGGGGTGTTCAAATGGTTACCGTGGTAATAACCAAACCAATTAAGCCTAAATTTCATTAACCATGGAATAAAATGTCTTAACCAAACCGTCCAAATTAACACGAAAATCGAATTAACCAAATAACATAACTTTACACGAAAACAATTATCATGTTAATGAATAAAATATAACCATACGTTATTACTATCATAAACTATCATTATATATAAGTAATAATAATAAGACTAACCATCCATGATTATCATCATCATTCGAGTTAATACATCATTCATCATCTTTGCACCTAATATAGTTAGCTTACAACAAACCCTTAACGTAAATATTAAATACATACCAATACCACTCATCAGGAAGTTAAAACTCTCCTACAAAACATTTAAACTATATATAGTTTGAGGTGGCTGTCATGGTATTGTACGTAATCCTATTGTCTAGTAATTTTCAAAAATGTTTTGGTTTAGTAAATAGGCAGACCCATTTAATTTTTGACCCATAATGCTTTGGTTTGTTGTGCACATGGAAATAAAATGGGGAATCACGAAAGTTTGGTTTGGTTGGTTGCATGGAAGTATAAATAATTTTATATATTAGGTGTATCATTAATTGGTTAATTGGTTTCATTGGTTAGCAGTGTTGAAACCAAAACAAACCACCTAAACCAAATAAGCTAAATTGTTTAACCAAACCAGACCAATTATCCAAATTAACCAAACCAAATTAACTGAATGCTACCGGTTAATATGGTTACCACGGTTACCAATCTGTTTGAACACCCCTACTACCGAGAGTACCGAGAGAATGGAACGCATAGTAGGGATGCAATAGATCGGGTTGGATCGGGTTTTGTCAAATCCAAACTCAATTCAGTAGGTATTTACGAGAAAAAAAAATCAAGAAAAAATCCAATGGGTTTTGGAATCTCAAATCCAACCCACTAGATATTGGGGTGTTCATGGATACCCATGGATTCCGATGGACGAAAATGTTTAACACCAATTTGTCTGTCAAATAGAAGTCTAACACCAAACTGCTCATACAAAGTATTTATACAAAAAATACCAATCTAGTACATACAAGCAAATCCATAAATTATCCATACATATTATTCGATATTATAGATAAACATCCACGAACAACACGATTAATCGACGGATTGTGGGAGTATGTATATGGGCAGGTATCAATGGTAGGATATACCTAAATGAAGGGGGGAGAGGGATGCGAAGGGAGTCAACTCTTCACGTGGGTGGTACACTCCCAACCATTGCATTGGATTGTTTAAATTTTATCAACCATTGCATTGGTTCAACCATGATAGTTGGAGTGTTGGACTAGTTGGGTTATTCCAACACCCACAACAGTTCGATTCGATTTGGTTAAAATCAGTTTAGATTGGTCCGGTTGATTACACAAACTGTAGAATTTGATTATGTGGAAGACGAAACAACACACGAGACAACGATTTTACGTGGTATCCTCGATCGATTGATTGATCAAGACTAATCCACGGTGAGCTCGGAACGAGCTCACGGCTGACAATTTTATTATAGGACTACATTGTGACGGCTTTCTTATGACAGAACCATAGCTAAGCTTTTATAGAGAACGACTTAGGGTTAAAACCCTAAAGACAACCAAGTTCCCTCTTTTACCCGGACAAGGAAACAAGGGACTTGTTGGACAAGGAATTAATTACATTTTGACTAAGTAATTAATATCCTCAACACTCCCCCTCAAGCGAAGACAGACTGACAAGAATGTCGAGCTTGAAACTGAACAACACTCAAACAACCTTTTGCTGACAATGACGATCCAACAGGTTGTGATTTTGTTCGCTTGTGGGAGGGGTAGACAAATGATGAAATTACTCCATGCTTGACCTAGTTCCTTTGACAGTGAACTCAGCATGGTGAAACTCCTTAACGTCGTGGATGAGACTGATCCTACTCCATGTCTGACCTAGTTCTTTGACAATGAACTCGGCATGGCGGAATTCCTTGACGTCTTGGATGAGACTGGTGACTGCATTGCTGACTTTGGAGACTTCTACCTGCACTGCTGACTGTGCTTCTCCATGCAACTTGACTGATAGATAGACACGGTCGACTTGATGACTGAACTAGTCGACCTATGATTCCCTATTCCCCCCCTCAAGCTGGAGCATGAACGACGTGAATACCCAGATTGAAAGTTAGAATGGTGAAGCCTGAAAAATGATCGATTCTGAACACGAAAAGGAACGATCGTTACTTTGATCGTGACTGTCTCGCACCTTTGACTTTATTTCTTGACGAAAACTTTCCTTTCTCCAACATTTATTATTGAAGCAGCACCAATACTTGGTCGTGATTACCTCCAACGTCATGAATTGAGCTTGTTGAAGATTTGTTTTTTTTTTTACATGACCTTGATAATGTTGACCTAGTCGCAAGGAGGGATACTTCTCCACAAAACACCCAGGGTGTAATTGGCTGCTAGTGAAGACCAGATATGACCAGCTTCAAGATGGAAGCCAAATTATGGAACTCCAGCTAGACACATAACCTGGATTGAACAGAATGACGCAACTGCAACAAGCAACAATCTCCACCACCAACAGTACGATTTTCAACGATGACCATGGAATCCCTTTGACCAAACGGACCGTGACCAACCATTCTCCCAAACTGTATTAAACAAACGGCACAAGAACTGATCCAAGTCGATGAAACAAGCAAAAGTTTTTCTTCCTTGCCTTGCTGTTACTGGACGGATGACTGAGCCGGCGAAGCGGCAGTGACTGGACGGAGTGACGGCGGTAGGATTGTCCCGAGCGATGATGAGACTTCGCTGGCCAACGATTTAGGACGGAACCGGATACCCAACCAACGATGGGTTGACTGGACGTATGGAGAGCTAGACTGCTCATCCGAATCAACAGTGGTGAACCTTCGCCTAGGTGTGACCATCGAACAAACTTCAGCATAAAAGCTGAAAGACATAACTTCTTCTTGACGATCGATGACATCAGGGAGGACAGATCCCTTCGACTCCGATGCAGACTCATCGGACATGACGAGGACAACGCAGAAGAACCAAAAAGAGGATGGAAGCGAAAACCCTAACAATGGACCGAGGTTCGCTCTGATACCATGAAGAATTTGATGATGCGGAAAATAAAATAACAAGAACACGAGACAAGGGGTTTTAGCGTGGTATCCTCGATCGATTGATTGATCGAGACTAATCCACGGTGAGCTCATAAGAGCTCACGACTGATCTCTTATTAGGATTACATCTTGGCGGCTTGCTTACGACAATCTCGTAGCTAAGCTTATATAGAGATAGACATAGGGTTAAAACCCTAACAACAACCAAGTCTCCTTCTTTTACATGGACAAGGAAACAAGGGAATTGGAGGACAAGGAATTAATTTCTTGGACTAAGTAATTAATATCCTCAACACTCCCCCTCAAGCGAAGACATGAATGACGAGAATGTCGAGTTTGAAACTGAACAACACTCAAACAACCTCTTGTTGGCAATCACGATCCAACAAACTGTGACTTTGTTCACTTGTGGGAGAGGTAGACAAATGACGAAACTACTCCATGCTTGACCCAGTTCTTTTGACAGTGAACTCAGCATTGGCGAAACTCCTTGACGTCGTGGATGAGACTGATCCTACTCCATACTTGACCCAGTTCTTTGACAATGAACTCAGCATGGTGGAATCCCTTGACGTCTTGGATGAGACAAAAGACTGATGACTGCGCTGCTGACTTTGGAGTCTTCTAGATGCACTGTTGGCTGTGCTTCTCCATGCAACTTGACTGATAGATAGACACGGTCGACTTGATGACTGAACTAGTCGACCTATGATTCCCTATTCTCCCCCTCAAGTTGGAGCATGAACGTAGTGAATGCCCAACTTGAAAGTTAAAATGGTGAAGACTGAAATTTACCTGAATACTGAGGGGACAATCGCTTCTTAGATTGTGACTACCTCAATGTACGACTGGACAAACTTCGATGGTGAACGCCATTGTATCTTCCCAACACCAGCTACCACCGCCGCTACACACAATTGTCTTCAATGCCATGGTATTGGTGAAGATTTGCCTTCTCAAACTGAATGGACTTTGCAACAGGGAGTGACCTTGATTTTTTTTTTTAAAGACTGAATCAGACCGAATCTTTCAAGAAGCCCTTTGAAGAAGACGACCAAACTTGTAACCATGTGGAAAGGTTTGCCTCAGGACAATGATATTATTCATTTATTTGGATATCCTCTTCTCAATCCAAGTGTAAGTGGTGCCGAAAGTCCACTACCACTATGGTGAACACCTCTCCGAGAGTGATTTGGACGACCGGACCAAAGGGCTGGTCGTGAGTGCTTGATGAATATGACCGGGCTACAACGATGACAATGCTTCTCGACAAAACATTGGGACTATAGCCGGAACTTTGAGCTTCACAAGCAGCTAGCGACAACAACAATCGATGTTCGAAGAGCATAATTGGGGTTTCTACTGGGCAGGGTCTTTGGGAACTTGATAGCTGGGTAGAACTAACTGGACGACACCGAAAACTTGGACACATTTGACTTGAATCGATGGCGTCGATGCTACCACGGAGAGGCAACAGATCCGACGTAGGTAACTCAAAACCCTTGACTGGTGGACGGTTATGATGACGAATAGACGGCGGTGACGATGAGGCCACGGATGACTGAGGCGACGAACGACCGTGACTGGTCTAAGCTTGTGACTTGGCGACAACGTCTACCGATTGCTCATCTGGACGACGACTGTGGCATCGAGCAGACTCATATGTGAATCTCCTGATCTCTTGGATCCCGCAGCTGCTTGCCGGAAACCTCAACCAAACAGAATTTGGACTGGACAGAGTGGCAACGGTAGGAAAGCTTCGTGCAGCGAGGAATCTTGACTGGGGATAGAGACGCGTTCGGCCCGGAACGGAACGCCGAACTTGACAACATGGAGAGAGGAAAGTCGGCTGGTGGAGGAGACCTGCGAACGGAACGGAGCATCGATGCCAGATGGAAGAACGCTTGCTGAACAAGACTGCTGGACGACGATGATCTTTTGGACGGATCCGGAAGACAACGAAGAGGTTGGACTGATGACCTCGACTGACACAGTGACGAATCTCATGACAAAGACCGGCAACAGAGAGGTAGACAGAAATTGAATCTAACCCTAATTCGGATCGAGTTTCGCTCTGATACCATGTAGAATTTGATTATGTGGAAGACGAAACAACACACGAGACAACGATTTTACGTGGTATCCTCGATCGATTGATTGATCAAGACTAATCCACGGTGAGCTCGGAACGAGCTCACGGCTGACAATTAAACCAGCTACACAATTCACCGGGTCGGGTTGGGTTTGGGTTTAGGTAAACCCGCCCCATGGGTACCCGCTCACACACATATAATTACTTTCCCGGTATATTTAATATTCTAAATAATATATCTTCCTTAAACAACTAATATTCTTTATGTTTGTGGAGACATGTATAATTTGTTCTTTCTAATTGTTTAGAATGAAGTTGATATTATGAAGTGGAGAGTGAAGAAAATTAGTTGACGAGGAAGAAAATTTCAATTAATCTTATTTTTTATAGATGTTTATCTTTAATTTTGAACAATTTGTATTGATTATTTGCGGTTTGCTTGTCTACTCTAGATTGGTGTTTTTTGTATGATTAATTTCTATGAGAAAATTGATGTTAAACTTTTATTTTGAATGAAACTTGTTATTGTAAATTTTTTATCACAAAAACCCACGGGTACCCATGAACCCGCGGATACCCAGCGGGTTGGGTTGGGTTTGAGTTTTTCAAACCCAACGGGTTTTACCCCGGGTTTTTTTGGCGGATAAACCCATGGGTTTGGGTTTGACAAAACCCACCCCAACCCGACCCATTGCCATCCCTAGTATGTTCATACCATCATGGTACGCTTTCATACCATATGGTATTAAATAGGAGCATATCATATGGTAATGACTGGTAAAAAACTATTCAATTTTTTTTGTACTAAAAATATATCAAAGTGGATATCATTTTAAAGAGCATATTTAATCTAATTTATCTGTGCAAAAAAAATTAAATTTTGACTTAAAATGAGAGAGAAATCGTCCGTTAAAAATTAAAGGGGGAAAAGTAAAAGACTTTCCAGGAGAGAGAGGATACCAATGTCATGCTGATGTGGACAAGTTACTCATGGTTACTGACCATAGAGTTACTGACTTGATCCGTTCCCTATTGTCGCCATCAGTGATGGTAGTTTCGGTTGGGCAACTAGTAGGAAGAACAAGTTTATCCTTCTTCTCTGTTCAAAAAGGGAGAGAGAGAGAGAGAGAGAGAGAGAGAGAGAAAGCTATCGTGTTCTCTGGCATTATCCTCTAAACTTCAACAAATTATTGGTTTAAGGTAATGTTGGGGGAATGACTTGGCTTCGTCCGCTCCATCAATCGACGTGCCAGTTACGGCGCGCCAGTCAGGGCGCTCACAACGTCCCACTCGCGGTAAGACAACGCGGATCACCAAGAGGAATGGAAGCGTGCCAATGCCATCATCGCTATCGTAGCACCATTCACCACTCCATCGCCACCAGTCACCAAGAAGAGCGGAGGCGCGATAGCGCCATTCGCGTGAAATACTCAAAACGACACCGGACGACTGACAAGGCTACTCAGCCCTATTCGTAGACCTCATCATACCCTAAACCCCTGTCTTTTCCAATTGTCCTGTCATATCGGAAACCCACCCACCAAGTGGTAGCCTATAAATAGAGCATTTACACAGGTGGGTGGGGGGATCAGATTTTAGCTCTCTCACACTAGAAACTCTAAAATCACCCTTCCCTCTCCTTTTCTCCTTTCTCTCTCTTGGGCCTTAAATCTTGTAAGCTAGTGATAAAGTAAGGAAAGAAGCGGATGATTTCTTAACTATACTTACCCCCTACTCTCTTCTGTGTTTCACTCCTACACTCAGTTAGACACAAACAATTGGCGCCCACCGTGGGGCTGCGAGTAAAAAAGAGAGAGATAATATGTCAGGATAAACTTCAAACACCCCGGGGAAAGCAACCCCGGTCAAGGCTATGACAGACGCAAGAAGGTTCGATGAGGCACGCAACCTCAACGCGAGGGTTGGGTCGGGATGAGGCAAGAACCGGAGCTAACAACCAAGGAGTAGGGATGGCAATGGGTCGGGTTGGGTCGGGTTTTGCCAAACCCAAACGCATGGGTTTATCCGTGAAAAAAACTTGGGGTAAAACCAGTGGGTTTGAAAAACTCAAACCCAACCCAACTCGTGGGTTCATGGGTACCAATGGGTTTTTGTCGTAAAAAATTTACAATAACAAGTTCCTATCAAAATAAAAGTCAAATATCAATCTCTCAATACAAATTATCCATAAATAAAACATCATTCTAGAAAATTCAAGCAAATCACAAATTAACCATACAAATTGTTCAACACCAATCTATAAAACTCAAGAAAATTGAAACAAATAACAAATTATACATAAATTAATTGAAAGCTTTTTCCTCCTTGTCAATTAAACTTCTCCACTCTCTACTCGATAATATCAACTTCATTCCACACAATTAGAAAGAAAAAATTAGACATGTCTCCATAAATATAAAGAAGATTAGTTGTTTAAAGGGTAAATACAATTTAATATCCAAACCTTTCATTTTAAACAATATAATAGTCAAATCTTTTCGAAAACAATCTAATATCCAAATCGTTAACTTTCCGTTCGTTTGACCGTTAGTTGACACTTCAAAAAAGCTTTGTTGAGGGGAAATTGTCACAATACAACTTTGTTTCTTGTTTTGGCATTGCAGATGACTGAATATTTAGATATTCTATACCATCATAGTGGAGTCATGGACTTCTCGGGTTGTGAACTACGATATGTTGGTGGTTTTTCAGAGAAGATATCGATGGATATTGATGTGGTGTCGTACTTTGAACTTTTTTGAAGTGTCAACTAACGATCAAACAGACAGAAAGTTGACGGTTTGGATATTAGATTGTTTTCGAAAAGGTTTGGCTATTATATTGTGTAAAATAAAAGGTTTGGATATTATATTGTATTTACCCTTGTTTAAATATTAAATATACCGAAAAAATAATTATATGGGTGTGGGCGGGTACCCATGGGGCAGGTTTACCTTAACCCAAACCAACCCAACCTGGTGAATAGTAAATGGGTTTAAACCCAAACCCGGCCCAAAAACCCATCAACACGGGTTTTACCCTCATTGATCGGGTTGGATCGGGTGGGTACCCATCGGTTCGGGTTTTGTTGCCATCCCTACCAAGGAGATGAGGCAGCAAATGGTGAAGCAAAACGAGGTCATAGCTGACATGCATAACAAGATGAATCAAGTCATAGCGCTCATGATGAGCAAGGAGACCGCGTCAATGACACAGTTGGCGGCAACCGCGCCACAACAAGCGCCGGTCAAGGCACCGGCGCAGGCCCCGCTGCCACAACAGGTGGCGGCTGAGCCACTAGCTCAGGTAGCGCAACAAGCCGAACCACAAACAAGAGCGGACCTCAGCTTCTTGGAACAACACCTACCCCCGCAATACCGCCCTCAACCAAGGAGGACCCTCCACCAACCACTGAGCGCCGAAATCATGGCAGAACACCTAAACGGAATGCCACCCTCCCAACATACAACGGGACGACTGACCCGGAAGACCATGTCAGCACCTTCTGCCTCCTTATGCAACTCCAAACCAACTCCAATGCAGCTCTCTGCAGAACCTTTCCCTCAACATTTGCCGACATATGCCTCGACTGGTACAATAGGCTTCCAAACAGGATCATCCACTCGTTCGAAGAGTTCATACTCTTGTTCACCACCAAATTTACTTCCCAAAAGAGAAGACTCCTCCACCTGAAAGCCTTAATTGATATAGGCAAAAGGACCGGGAGAGCCTTTGGGCATTCTACGCCAGATGGTCCTGGGTAGCAATGGCAGTTCGGGACCTCACCCCCGAAACCGCCGCCCACCACCTTATGGAAGCCACCACCAACATGGAGCTCAAATGGGCGCTAGCAAAAAGACTGGTCAAGTTGTCGACATAGCTAGAGATCAAAATCGAAAAAGCCATTACCTTGGAAGAAACCATGGGCGCAGGGTCTGTAAGGCGCTTCGAACCGTCAAAGCCAACCAGATAAGACCAGACGCGAAAACAACTCCCAGTGCCGCACGAGCAATTGATACAAAGGCACAGCGGAGCGAGTCGTCCGCTCGCCCCGCCAGAGAAAGTGGCGCGAAGATGTTCACCATATAGGCGCCCGCCGAAAACCTTCACGCTGCTCAAAAACTCGGTGAAAAACGTGTTTCACGTCCTCCGCGAGAAAGACTACAAGCTTAACTGGCTGGCGCCAGTTATAGCCGCGGCTCACATGCGCGACCCCAACAGGGAAATAGGCTACCTAACAGAGGATTGTATAAACCTCCGATTTGAAATTGAGGCTCTCATTCGAAGAGGACTTCTGTCCGAGTTCGGCGGAGGAACAGAAGGAACAACGCTAGGATCCGCCGCCTCCTCCCCAATACGATTACGACGAGACCATTGGCTCGTACATAGTGCGGAAAGAAATAGGGGTCGTGATAATTGAAGGAGACCGCCCAAAGAAGAAGACAAAGCGCGAGCGCGCAATGGAATGTGAAACAACTGAGGTGCAACAAAAATGTAACCTAAGCTTTGACGATGCGGAATTCCCGCAAGGAGTTCCATCAGAAGACCCTCTCACTATCACCGCCCTGGTAGCCGCCTGCAAAATTCATCGCATTCTGATAGATGGAGGCAGTGCGACCGATATCCTCTTCCTGAGCACCCTCGATCAAATGGATATCGATCCGCGCATGATCAAACACGTGCAAGGAAATTTGGTGGGATTCTCAGGAACGAGGGTAGCGCTAATAGGCGCGGTAACACTTCCGGTTGTGTTCAGTGACCAGGAGTCGTGGGTCTCAAAACAGGTCGAATTCACCATTGTCGACTGCAACTCACCCCACAATGGCATCCTGGGACGATCGTTCCTCGCCAAGTTCATGGCCCTGCCATCCACATGCCATTAGAAGCTCAAATTTCCTACCAAGGCAGGAACTGGAGAAGCGCGCGGGTTACCCTAGGGAATAACAAAAGAAGAAGGGGAGATACGCCAAACCAACATCATCGACACAAGTGCGGAAGATCCACGCCCGGAATTCATGGACTCCGACTTCGAAGTCGCGCTTGACCCAACTGAACCAACGACGAAGATTCGCATCTCAACCCACGTCCACAACGACATGATCGAACCACTGATAACACTGCTCAAGGAGTACAAAGAATTATTCGCTTGGTGCACTGAAGACATGCCGGGAGTGCCAAGACAGATCGCCCAACATTGTCTCGCGGTTCCAGTCAGCGCGGAGCCAAGTCAACAAGCGCGTCGAAGCTTTACAGGCGAGAAGTTAAAGGCCATAGAAGAGGAAGTCTCGCGGCTCCTTGCCGTGGGATTAATCCGCAAAGTCAAATATCCAAAAAGGCTAGCCAACGTGGTCCTCGTGAAAAAATCCTCTGGAGCATGGCGAATGTGCATCGACTATACATCGCTCAACAAGGTGTGTCCCGGGAATTCTTACCCCCTTCCGCGCATCAACCAATCAATCGACGCCACTTCCGACCATGAAACATTGTCCTTCTTGGACATGTTCTTCGGATACCACTAAATCCCAATGTCCCGCGGAGACGAAGAAAAAATCGTCTTCATAACGCCGTTCGGAAACTTCTGCTTCGTAGGAATGCCATTTAGGTTGAAGAACGCTGGTGCCACTTACCAACGAATAATCAACTCGGTGTTCTCACAACAGATCGGGCGGAACATCGAGGCGTACGTGGATGACCTCATCGTCAAGACCAAAGTGGGCAACTCCAACTTAGAAGATCTGCGCGAGACGTTTGAAGCGCTCCATAAACACAGCCTCCGCCTAAACCCCCAAAAGTGTGTATTCGATGCGGAAGAAGGAAAATTCCTAGGCTTCATGATCACCAAGCGTGGCATTGAAGTCGACCCAAAACAAATCACTGTCGTTCAGCAACTGCGGGCGCCGAGGAGCGCAATAGAAATACAATCCTTGAATGGTAAGATAGCGGCCCTAGGAAGATTCATACCAAGATCAGCTGATAAGTGCGCCCCTTTCTTTAAGACACTCAAAATCGACACGCGATTCGCATGGTCACAAGAGTGTGAAGTGGCCTTCCAAGAGCTCAAGTCATATCTTGTAATCTCCCTGTACTGACCGCTCCCAAGCTTAATGAAAAGTTAATCTTGTACCTTGCTGTGTCGACCAGAGTTGTAAGCCCGGTATTAATATCCAGGAGGGACAACAGACCAAGCACCCAGTATATTACACATCGCGAAAGCTGCTCAGCGTGGAAACAAGATACTCCCTGATAGAAAAGGCCGCCCTAGCCTTGGTAAGTGCATCGCAAAAACTGCCTTAATTCCAAGCACACTCGATCACTGTTTTAACCAACCTCCCCTAAAAAAGATCCTGAGCTCAATGGAAGGGTTCATGGGTACCCACGGGTATTTGTCGTAAAAAATTTACAATAACAAGTTCCTATCAAAATTAAAGTCAAATATCAATCTCTCAATACAAATTATCCATATATAAAACACCATTCTAGAAAATTCAAGCAAATCACAAATTAACTATACAAATTGTTCAACACCAATCTAGAAAACTCAAGAAAATTGAAGCCAATCACAAATTTCGATATATAACATGATTAATTGAAAACTTCTTCCTTTCAATTAAATTTCTTCACTCTCCACTCGATAACATCAACATTAATCTACAAAATTTGAAAGAAAAAATTAGACATGTCTCCACAAACATAAATAAAATTAGTTGTTTAAAATATTAAATATACCTAGAAAATTAATTATATGGGTGTGGGCGGGTACCCATGGGTCGGATTTACCTAAACCCAAACCCAACCCGGTGAATAGTGAACGGGTTTAAACCCAAACTCGGTCCAAAACCCATCAACACGGATTTTACCTGCGTTGACCGGGTTGGGTCGGGTGGGTACCCGTGGGTTCGGGTTATGTTGTCATCCCTACCTGCCACCTTGCCCTCGAGCTGAATGCTCTTGTCCACTTCTGATTTCAATGTAGCGGTGTCATATTGGGCGCGGAATGTTGCCAGCAAACCCTCGCAAAGGAACAAACCGCCACATGCCTTTAACAAAAAAGAGAGGAAGAAGAAGAGGGAAAAAGAGAAGCAGAATACAAGTTGAACATCCCGCCCACACGTAAACTGCTACTAACCGCGAAGTGGATCTGCGCAAGGTAGTGCAGCGGGTCGGTGTTCTCCATCCACGGAGGAACGTTCAAGATGGGCCCCAGAGTGTTCAAAGCACTCTACGCGGCAGTCAAGGATGATGTGGCGCCAGAATGCACCCGCACGTCTCGAAAGTGGGTGGAAACAAGCGTTCCAAACACATGCATATCTGGAAGCGCCTGTTGCATAGTGTGCCCAGATGAACCACCAGTGACCGCCTTATCTGGCCGCGGAGGCTTGCCCACACGGACCTCCTTGTCAGCAACCTACTGCGGCGCCTACTCCGTAGCACGAGCAACCTTGCTCGCCCTCTCCACCGCCACAGGCCGCTCCGCTTCCTTTCCCTTATTCTCCGCGCGGGACTTCACGATGTCATCTACAGACATCATGCTCGCCACGGTCGAGTAGTCAACGCCTGCAACTATAGGTGTCAATCGGGCGGGTTCGGGCTGGGTTTAATCTGGTTCGGGTTCAAACGGGTTGCGGGTTCATCGGGTTCGGGTTCATCGGGTTTGGGTTCAAACGGGTTGCGGGTTAGTCGGGTTGCGGGTTCATCGGGTTCGGATTCAATCGGGTTGCGGGTTCATCGGGTTTTGGGTCGGGCGGGTTGAGGGCGGGTCGGGTTTCGGGTTGTTCGGGCCAGCGCATCAAGTAACTTAACTCATTACCAATTTACACATTTTATTACACTAATTTAAAATATTTTCTCAACTTTTTAACCAATTTATTTCTACCTCGTATATATATACTTTATTTTTTTTGAAAAAAACTAGTCAAAATGTTAAATCAATTTGTATGACTTGCAAACTTGTTATGTAATTAATCATAATTGGAAAAGTATTATAGCTAATAGTAATGGTGATATCAATATTTGCAACCAAAAGACACCATTAATTATTTATTTGATATTTTAGTATTAATTCAGTAGTATTGAATTAAAGTATCTCGTTTAGTATAACCATGCAAATCTGGTATTTGGCGTGTGGTATTTGGCAAAAGCATAATGATAAAAGGAGTTATTTCAAAATAACTCATTTCCCAAATAACTTTAGTAAACGGTTGCCAAACGAGTTATTTGTAAAATTGTTCGAATTATCCTAAAAATTGAACCATTAAAGATTAGCTACCAAATTTAGTAAAATTATTGTGACTTCAATCATAACTTACTCAATAGCATATATCCTATACACTTAGCTTTACCCTCAATCAACAATATTAAGTTAGTATATGTTGTTGATTGTATACCCTAAACCATCAATACATTATACACTAACCACATAACCTATACCCTAATCATATATCCTTGAGTTGTGATTTTGCTAGTATAGTTAATTTAAAAGTGAAATTCATATTTTGATTTTCAAAACATAGATAAAAAGTTATATTTGCTAATTGTTATACCCTAACCATATATCCTATACTTTACACCACATACCTTGTACCCTAACCACGTACCATAAACATAAATTAAAAAGGGATCTCCTGCCGTTAAAGACTTCAAATGACTTCAAGTGAACATATGTTAATAAAAAACTTAGAACCGTCAAAACCATCAATATCTTATACCATAACCATATACACCCTAAACCATATGTACCTTATACCTTATACCCTAACCATATACTTTATATCCTAAACACCAAACAGTCAAAGATTACTTATCAAGTTTAGTATAAATTGTTGTAACTAATGGTTAATTTATTTATTAGCCCATAAATATTACATACATATATACATATTAGCCTTCAAAGCATATAAGAATAATTTTAACTAGTCATGCCCTCCATATAAAAGTTAAAGATTCATATTTCAAAAGCTAAAATTATGAAAAACCAAAAAATTGAAAACACCAAATTTGTTTCCTTCTTTATTTTCACAAAAATACTAAAATTTCCCTCCTTCTTTCTCCTTCCATACATTAGAAAAACTCAATTTTCCCTCCTCTTTCTCTTCCATAAAATTGAAAGAACCAAGTTACCCTCTTCTTTCCTTCTACAAAAAGTTGAAAAGTCAAAAGTTTCCCTCCTTATTTCTCTTTCATAATCAAAATAATCAAACTTTCCCACTTCTTTCTCTTCCCACATATCAAAACCACCAAAATTCCCACTTGTTTATTTTCTAAAAAATTCAAAGAACCAAATTTCCCTCTTCTTTCTCTTCCCAAAAACTTGAAGACACCAAAATTTCCCTCTTCTTTTAAAAACATCAAATTACCAAATACATTACTTTGTTTTATTTATATTTAATTGATAATTTTATTGAATAGTTAAATTAACCAAAATTTTAATTTATATATTATATTAATATTGTCATGATCTCAAGTGACCTTCATGTTTCAATTTTTGTAATTTTCTTAAAATACGTAATATCAAGTGAGTTTCATATTTTTAAAATTTCTTATACGAAATGAAAAAATAATTTTACTTAAGTTTAGAATGAAAAACTTTATTTTAAAAAACTATGTATTGTATATTTTTATAATTATTCAAGTGGATTAGATGAAATTCGGGTTGAGTCGGTCGGGTTAGGGGTTAGTCGGGTTCGGGTCAATCGGGTTCGGGTTAATCGGGTTGCGGGTCAGTCGGGTTGCGGGTCAATCGGGTTGCGGGTTAATCGGGTTGTGGGTTAGTCGGGTTGCGGGTCTGTTGGGTTGCGAGTCAATCGGGTTGCGGGTCGGGCGGGTTACGGGTTGTTGACTTTTAGTCAATTCGGGTTGCGGGTCGGGTTGATCGGGCGGGTTAATCGGGTCGGGCTATGTTTTGACACCTATACCTGCAACAATAAGTCATAAGAAGTCTGTTAATACTACAAAATACACAGCAAAAGAAGGAACTAACCATCGTTTAAAAACTCCGCCAGACGAGCCGCGCAGACTCCTTTGTGATAGAGATCAATCCTCTCCTCGAGAAGCAGCTCATACTCATCCTCCAACCGGTTATAAGCACCCACATCCGACTCAAACCCCTTCACGTTTTCATCCTTACAAACAGTTGGCTCGTCAACATGTCCACTCGCCCACTTCTGGGGAGTAGGATTCACAAAGAAGAACCACTCAAACCAGTTCTTGTCATACTTGGCGCGAGCCATAGATATACTTGTCAAGCCTTTAGCGACAAGCAATCGCTCTTACTCTTCTCTGTTGGGGCCTTCATCTTATAGAACTTTCGGAACAAGCCATAAGTCGGCGTTACACCTCGCCGCTTGCATACAAGGCGGTGCATAGTCACATGCATCATCACGGACGGCGACAGGCGGGAGATTGAGCACTTCAGCATCCGAAGTAGGGCGCACACTAGCGGATCCAATGGGAACTTAAACCCCATCCGCCAGTACTAGGTATAAATACCAAACCACCCAGGGGGCAGTTCCCAATTCGGATCCGCGCGGACGGTACCGCATACTTCCAAGAGGAGGGAAACCCCAACCCGCCCACAACCTCCTCAACCTCTCTCCGTCGTACACAGAGATATGGTCCGGGCCGCGCACCAAATTATCGTTGGGGGCGAGATGCAGATCAAACATTTCTGCCCAGTCCAACACCGTGTATTGAGCGTTGATGTAGCGCGGCCCCAGCTGACTCATGGCCTCCGAGACGCGAGGAATGGTGACGGGACCATCTCGCGAGGCGGGTCAGACTCTGTATCCGAAATCTCCACCGCCTCGCCGGAAGACGACGGAACACCATCGGCGACGCCTTGACGGATGATCAGCACTCCCCTAGCTCCTGAACTTGACCCACCGGCTTCGACGACATATGCGTAGCCGTGGAGGAGATCACGATCGGATTCGATGTCGTACGACATCGTCGACGAAACTCCGCTGCTGCCCTCGTCGCCGGAAGCCCGCAATTCTAGCGATGGATCAGTAGAAATATGAGAGGAAGGAGAAAGATTATCTTCTTCGCCGAAAATGACCACGATCTCAGGGATGGAACCAGCCATTGGGAAATTAGAAGAGCAGACAGAGCAAAGATAGAACTGAGGTCGCAAATGAAGTAGGAGAATCTAGGAAACAAAAGATTTTCGCAAAGCAGAGAGAAGTAGTGGTTGTTGTTCGACTGAAGTCGAAAACCTTTATTTATAAGGAAAGAAAGAGAAGACGAAAGGCGGTAACCTCATTCGGAAGCGTAAGCGTCAAATCGGAAATTCAAAATTCAAAAGCAAAAATTAACTGCCCGAATGGGCGGTCAGAGCGTTGCCACGTGGACGGTGATTAGATGATGATTGGTCCCTAAAGGCGGCGCACCCACTATGCACTCGCCCCCGCCCGGAGGCAGGGTACACCAGCGGAACGCGAAAAATAAAAAAGTTAAGTCACACTCCGTCAAAGAAAAGCGGACCGGACGCACAAGCACCTAAGGAAGACCCCGGCAAAGGAAGCGCGTAAACACAACCGCGCACATAGGAAAAGGGGAACAAAGAAGTAGCCTTTACCCCAGTCATCTCGCGCCACGCAAACTGAGTAGGGGTCACTCACGGAATACCCCCTGTTGGGGGGCAATTGTTGGGGGAATGGCTCGGTTTCCTCTGCTCCATCAATCGACGTGCCAGTTACGACTCGCCAATCAGGGTGCTCACAACGTCCCACTCGCGGTAAGACAACGCTGATCGCCAAAAGGAATGGAAGCGCGCGAACGTCATCAGCGCTACCTAGCGCCATTCACCACTCCATCGCTGCTAGTCACCAAGAAGAGCGGAGGGGCGATTGCGCCATTCACGTGCAATACTCCAAAACGACATCGCACGGTTGACAAGGCTACTCAGCCCTATTCGTAGACCTCATCATACCCTAAACTCCTGTCTTTTCCAATTGTCCTGTCATCTCGGAAACCCATCCACCAAGTGATAGCCTATAAATAGAGCATTTACACCCGTGGGTGGGGGGATCGGATTTTAGCTCTCTCACACTAGAAACTATAAAATCACCCTTCCCTCTCCTTTTCTCCTTTCTCTCTCTTGGGCCTTAAACCTTGTAAGCTAGTTATAAAGTGAGGAAAGAAGCGGAGGATTTCTTACTATACTCGGACCCCACTCTCTTCTGTGTTTCACTCCTACACTCAGTTAGACACAAACAGGTAAAAACAAAAGGTGAAGCAAGGGAAAAATTTATTAATTTACATGCTTTCATAAACACTCGATTCTCTGTTGAGATTAAAATTGTTTGGACGGATAATGGGTAAGAATTTAACATGTCTAAATTCTATGAGTCATGGGGATTTGTTCACCAGACACCATATTATTTGTGTTGCTACGTCTCATTATACTGGTCGTGTTGATAGAAAATGCAGCAAAACGTTATTTTTTAATAGGTTGGATTAGATTGCAAATGGGCCAAGCCCAGAGGAAAGAGTTATAACAAAAGATACATTTGAAGTAAAACAAGAAAACTCAAGCCCAAAACCCAACAAACTCAGCTGGAAACCCAATAGGGCCCAAACCAAAGGAGTACAAACCAGAGCTCCCTCTCAAACCCTAGATGCCCTGCTTCCCACAGATCCCACTGTCATTGGAGCCCCTGAAATGTGTCTCTGATCTCCCCCACTGCTGGAACAAAGTCGATGGAGCCAATACATGAAGCAGAAGCCACCAACTCGAGCAGAGGAAAGAGGAGACGAGTCATAGCCACCTCTGACCCAGCCTAGCTAGACCAAAACAACCTATGTTCCTCGCCGACCAAGAGCACCAAAGAAGAGCTGAAGTTGCATGGGCGACCGGTTTTGGCACCGTGAGGAAACCATATGTCTCTAAGATCTTCAAACCGAGTCCAAGCCAGCGGTCGCCACATCTCCGAATCACCAAGATCTGCAAGGTGAAGCAAAGGAGGTAGACGAAGGGCATGGGGAAAAGAGACAAGCTGGACAAAGTTCAGCCTCCTTTACATCTAAGAGAAGACATCTCCATATCTGAAACCTCATATCAGAGGGACAAAAATCAACCTAGTGAAGGGGAGAGAACATACCCACAAAGGGAGAGAAGGGAACAAACCATGATCAAACCAAAACTGAAAACTAAGAAAAAAGAACTGAAAAATCAGAAAACATAGGCAATTGGACGGGGAAACCAACAAAGAAGAAATAAAAGATATTTTGAGGACCACCGTCGGTTCCAAAGGAGGCCGACGGGCGACGGCAGCCCATGGACGTTGTTGTTGTTGCTAGGTCACTAGTTTTTCAAGCATCTATACCTTTAGTTTTATGAGAATTTATTGTGTTGCATGCTATTTTTCTTCTAAACAAATTATCTTCCCCCTTTTGGAAAATTTGTCACCTTTTAAAGTACTTTATAACACTAAATCATTGTTTGATGAGTTGCGTGTTTTTGGTTGTTTTATTTTTGCTTCTTCAACTTCTCAATAGACCTAATTTGCACAAAGCGATAATCCTTGTGTACTATTCCTAGGTTTTCATAACTCAAGGGAAATTATTGTTCGTAAACGTGTTTTTCCTATGCAAAACAATGATTTTCATGATCAAGATATTTTTTTTCCTTGCACAAACATTTCAATACACTCCCTGTTTATGACGACCCTCCTACTTTTCCTTTACCCGATGCAGTGGCGGACCCAGAATTGTCGGAGAGGTGTGTCGCCGATAAAATAAAATAATAATTAAATTAAATTAAAAAAATTAAGTAGAAATTAAAAAAAATTAATTCATAAAGTTCACAATGTCATGTTTACAACGAATCGCAATGACTTTTCATCTGCTGAAATGTCTCTAAAATATATTAATCACTTATACTGCAAAGAAAATCTTTTTCAATATACACAACTAAACAATTATTCATAAATTGGTCACTCAACCGATTTCGAAGATCATTCTTGATTATCTTCATAGCTAAAAATGTTCTTTCGCAGTCGTTGCAACAAGTAATGATGGGGAGTTAGTGGCCGCCTGGGCTATTGGCCATTAGGCCTGTGGTTTTTTTTTCTCTTTTAATTATAGGCCGAGGCCCAACACACATCACACATGTATATTGTATGGGCTGAGAGTTTGTTTTTTAATAGGAATTGATAGGATTATGATTTATGAGTTATTTTAAACAAAATTAAAAAGGATTATGATTAAGATTGATTTATTCGGATAATAAATTCTTCGAGTATAATAAAGGTGTGTCGGCTATAATTATTGAAGGTGTGTCGGCTATCTCAAAATAAAAAAATTCGTACCAAAAATATGTAGGTCCTTCACAAAATTCTCGAGCGAGGGTGTGTCGAACGACGCACCCTCCCTTGCCTTAGGTCCGCCACTGAGTCGATGAATAGATGTTTCATCATTTTGAGTAGGGATGGCAATTTCGACCTGACCCGATTTACCTGACCTGTTTGGCCTGTTTTGGGCAGGTCAGACCCGCCCCGTAGGCGGGGTGGGACGGGCATGGGTACCTCTCATCGATCCGACCTGCACTGACCCACCCCATTCTCGACCCGTTGTTGCCTAAATTACATGTAATCTTAGTAAAATTACTTAGGATTTTCCTTTTATTACATTATATTTTACCTATAATAAAGTTGTAAATAAGTGAAAATATCAATTTCTTAAATAATTTAACTACATTTTATCATATTATGTTTTTTTTTTTGTCTTTTAGTGAATAACAAATAGTTCTAATGTTTTTTGAATAAATTACGTACCCAATGAGCCGACCTGTCCGACCCGCGCCCCGTGATACATTACTCGACCTGGACCCGACCTGCCATGGGGTGGGTATGGGTATCGAGAAACCCGCCCCGGACCTGCCCATTGCCATTCCTAATTTTGAGTGTTGATCACAAACCTAATATTGTTGCTTCTACTTCCATTTTCGAACCACAAATTGTACAATTTATGAAGCACAAATTAATCATATATGTACGAAGTCTCTTTTTTTTTTTTTTACATCCTAGATTGTTATTTATCAAAGCTCACATTGGGTATCAACAATAATGAGTATAAATAACTGAGCTGAGCTAATTACAGCTGGAACAGTCCAACAAATGTAATCAACATTGAAACATTTATCTGTCAGGTAGACCAATTACAAGGAATTTCATTACCACTCAGAATTATTGTTGGGGGACAAACCCAATCAACGTCAAACCTACAAGCCCGAGGCAATGATCATCATATAAATGTACTGTTATTCCATTAATTCCATGCAATACAACCCCTTAAATATTATTATTAATGATAATAATTATATAGCATGATGATCCATTAGATAAAAATATGAATGGACGGCTGATGAATCTGCATATATATTACCGCTCCTGAAACAAAATTCATTCCAATGATTGGATCGTGGATGTTTGACCATGTATATTTTTCCTTGCCTTTACTATCTTTTTCTTTGTTTTGATGAGAAATTCCCGCCCTTATGAATACTCGACAAGTCTATGAAAGCGGGTTAAACAAGTATAACAATCATATCTGGTCACCTTGAAGTAACGCAGAAACGGTGGTTATCAAAGATTTTATTGAAGACCTCATGAATTCAAACCTATGTTTTTTTTTTACCAATATGATGCGTATACTTTACTGTATTATTATTACTAGTGTTTGGTTAGTTTTAGGTTAATGGGTTGAGTCACGACTTGTACTTTTGTTATTCACTTCATCAAGAATAAAAATGAAGAATATTGTTGATCAAAACTATAATCCTCTCAATCTATCCTCTTCGAACCCTAATTCTATTCTCAATCTTCCCAATTCTCTCCTCAAAACCCTAATTTCCTGTGTATGACGTTGTGCTTTCATCACAATCCCACCACCATATGAGGGTTGTTTTTTTTTTTTTTTTGGAAAATTTGGTTGTATCTTTTATTAGTTTCTAGAAGAGGAAACGACCAAAGCTACAGTTGTACCGTGAGCATAATGGTGATATAGTTACATTTTTTTTTTTGGTGTGTGGAAAAATAATTACAATTATTCTCAACACATTGCCAGCACTTGTTCCTAGTTTTCATAATTAATAAACTTTCTTAGTACAATAGAGGGTAGGCAGGAGATGGTGAAAGCATTAAAGACATCAAAAACATCCAAACTGTTGTGGGCAGCCGGTTCAGCACCTTAATTTGTACTGGCAGGATATGATTGAGAGGCCAATGATTACGAGTGGCTCATAACTTTGTCCTTTTTAACCGTAACGAAAAATCCACCAATAGCAACGGAGATCCCCACGATGCATTTTGCCCATTTCTGGAGACATCCACTATGCACTTCTACTTCCTCCATTTCATTATAAACCTAGACACTACTAAACCGCACCATATATGTATAGTACACATTGTTGCCTAACAAGGTCCCTCGTCGCAAAAAGACTCCTTCCCATTTTAAACCCATAATAAAGATGACCCACAACTTGTTCCGACCACCGCCTACGCCCCGTGGCCGACGAGAAGGGACGGCGGGGGCGTGGAGAACGGAGAAGAGGAGAACATCTTCGTCGTCATCATCATCATCGCAATTGCTACAATTTGGTGATCTTCCTCCAATTGTGTTGTCCTCAAACACGCATCAAGAAGTGTCGTCGGGGTATCCTCATTGTCTCGAAGGCGCGATTAAGGAGCACGAAGATCGATTAATGGCGGCCCGAGGGACGAGGCTGGGGAATCGGAGGAGGAGGAGGAGGAAGAGGAATGAGAATGGTGGGTATAAAGGGACGTTGAGGCAGAGGTACGAGGATGGAGATCCGGAGGTTGGGTTGCTTGGGGAAGCGTCCGGGAGAGGGGATTTTGAGTACTATGTCTTGTATTCTAGACCTCCTAAACTTGATCATAATCAAATTTGTTCCAATTATTTGGATGTGGCTCCAACTGGGTGGGATGATATTTAATTAGTGTTGGGAGAATGCAGATCATCATCATGAGCCAATTTAACTGGGTAATTGTCTTTATTTTTTCTTTTTCTTTTATTTATTACTTGTGTTCATGAGGGACAATATTTGTCGTTTTCGACAGATTTCTTCATGTAAAAAAAAAAAACGAAAGTAGGCTCATAACCAGGGATTCTAGGGTGTCTGTGGTTTTGGTATCGATGGAGAAATAAATGTTGACTAATTACAAGTTTTATGGGGGTTATTATTTGGAAAAGTAGAAATTCAACAATGACTATTTACAGATATAATTACTGGACCGATACCCAATTTAATTGACACAAGACGAAGTGATATTATGGTAACACAAAACTAGAATCCAAACTTACTATGGGATACTATTTAAAGAGGATTGTGACACAAATCATTTGATGCATTGCTTAGATGAGTTTCTGAGTACAACGTAGGTCGTCATTGCTATTAAAATGATTAGGGAGTCAAGGAGTCGACAATCTTTGTGTTTTGAAGCTAGAGATCATATATGTGAGTCTCGTTGTCTTTCTTAAACACATTATATAGACCGTAACGATACAGAATAGTCCACAAGGTATATGAACTTGAAATTATTGGACTTGGCCCGTTCGATCATAAATACGAATTAAAGCATAATTTCGCATATTTTCCCACTTAAACAGTAAATTTTTTAAAATGAACATATGTACACAGTTTACTCAGTTTTAATGAAGTTAAATTAATGATTAAGCATACAGATATTTTGTATGAAATGATAGAAACGTTGAAATTAAGTTATTATTATTGTCTTTTTCAAATGATTTCAGCATACTCTTAAAGTAATCATTCAATCTTGTTGGTTTTTCTTTGCATGTATTGTCCAAATACCTACAAAAGGATCGATAATGCCTAAATTACAAGGATAAGATGTCAACAAAATGAGAAGAAAACTTAGGACCGTGGTCCTAACATGGAGGAGTACTACTGACCAAGTAGGCATAAACCTATAAATTTTATAGGTAATGGCTATTTATTAGTTAAATTTTTTTTTGGATTCTTTTTTATTAGCCAAACCTATCGAAATACTAAGAATTAGCCAATTGTTAATTTTCAGTTGCAATTTTGTTAGTCATATTGACTTGGCAACATGATACTGACTCGGAAGAGACACATGAAGGTCAACATTCCAAAATTTTAGTATTATAACTAAGAAAAGATTTATAAAATTATTAACGATAACATAAAAATGACTAATATTTTGATGCATTACGAAAGATTTGGCTAATTAATAGTATTTTAATAGATTTGGATAATATAAAAGAATCTGGATAAAATTTGGATAAAAAATAGAAATTACCGTTAATGTTACGAGACAGTGGTGTTTTGCACCCGATTATCATTAATCGGAATGGTGGTTGTGGATACGAATGGGCTACAACGAGAGTTTGATGAGGCATGAGTGGTGGAACGGATCAGGTCAGTAACCCTATGATTAGTAACCATGAGTAACATGTCTACATCAGCATGACATCAGTATCCTCTCTCTCATCGAAAGCCTTTTATCTATTTCTCTTTAATCTTTAACGGGCGATTTATCTCTCGTTTTAAGTCGATTTTTTCACAGATAAATCAGATTAAATGTGATCTTTAAAATTATATCTACTTTGATATATTTTTAGTACAAAAAAATTGAATAATTTTTTTACCAGTCATTACCATATGGTATGCTCCTATTTAATACTATATGGTAAGAGCGTACCATGATGGTATGAACATACCAATATGATAAGAAGCTTGAATACATGATAATAAGAGTATACTAACTGTCATTTACGACTTTTATCATTGTTTACTACAAGGTACCACTCACATACCATAGTGGTAAAGTATGGTAATATTTTATCTAGTATTTTTTCACCTATAAATTTATAGATCTAATAGATCATGATGAATTCGTTCCTTCTGAGCAAACATTTTCAAAAACGATTTAAAAACGAAGAAGTTACCATATGGTATGCAGTTGGTAAAAAAAAAGTCCCAAAACATTGAAAATTGATATCATTTTGTAGAGCACAACGAACTCGTTCCATCTATTAAAAAAAAATTTAAACTCCGAGTTAGAAAGAATAAAATAAGAGCCGATTAAGAAAACTAGGGAAAATAAAATATCTTTAATTGACAACTCTTAAATTTGAATTTTCTAGACCCACTTAGATCTAAAGGTCCAGATTTAGTTACTCACCCTATTCTAAAGCGGATGAGTGGAACTGAATGGACTGTTGAATGGGAAGCAAAGTATTTATGTTGGTTGTACAGTTACAACCATGATAACTAACTTCTTTTAATAACTGTGGTGGTTGACGAACCCGAGTTTGGAGGCTGAATGGGCTCCAATTTAGAATGCTTGACCGGTCTGGTCTGATCACAGACCATTGGGAAGCCACCATTAAGCCAGCAAACTTGAAACATGAGTCAACTACGACCAAGTTTGCCTTGGAACCAAATGTATTTTTTACAAATCATATTTTTCCCAAGTCAAACAAACTATTTAATCGTTTCGTTTTCTATCGATTCAAAAATTACAAATAGTTTAATTTCGATCGAGAAGACTAGTGTGATTATGATTTATGCATAAGTACGTCTATGTTCTAAGAACTGTAATCACTATATATCTATACAAAAATCACATTTCAGATATCCAAACTGTCGAACCAATTACAAAATCTCACCAACCACCAAAGCTACACATAAATTTAATCATAGAACACCATGATTTTTTTTCGTAAATGATTTTTACAGGATGAACGGTCAGAGACCACCACCATGTGAAGGAATATAAAAATTTACACAACCCATGGTGGAGATCTCTTTATCAAATGATGATCAAATAATAATAAAAAGTCAAATAATTTTTTTTTTTTAATTCCAAATCCATTTACGATTGGATGAATTTGGTCACACTTCGAATTCAGAAGACGCCGTCGTTTTGGGCCTGCATCAACCAACAATTCTTCAGCTGCGACTTGGCACTCTCCCTGAAGCTCTTGACCCGCATCAAGCAGAAGTGGGTGCAGCACAGGCCCACACCCGACGACCCGACCCGGCTCGTCTTCAGCAGGTAGCACAGCGGCCCACACTCCGCCCCTTTCCCCTGAACCACGATCCCCCACGCCTTCGTTGCCTCCTCCTCGCCGACGTCGTTTTCCTCCTCCGCCTCTTCCGCTGCCGCTAGCACGGCGGATCTCCCGCCGTCTAGTAACTGCTCGACGAAAATCACCCCTTCCGGCAGTGGCGAATCCCGCTTCTTCCACTTCTCGATCAGCTTCTTCCAATCCCCCTCCTCCACCGCCTTCTCCGTCTCCAGCTTCTTCCCCTGTTTGTCGGAGTACACGTGGACAAGCAGCGGCGCTGCCGTTAAATTCTTCACGATTTCCGTCACCGAGTCCCTCATCCACTCGTCCAGCTTCTCCGCAACGATCCCTCTCTCTCCACCGCCTCCTCCTCCCGCCGCCGCCGTCAACAGAGCGAAACTACTCTCCTCAGCCGCCGTCGATGTACCGCCCCTCGGGAACCCCGCCTCTTCCGACGAAATTTCTACCTCCATGGCAGCTTCCGCCGCAAACGCCGTCGCCGAACACACCCTCGGCGTAAAAAATCGCCCCTCGCTGGATGCAATCGGCGTCGCCGTCGGGGTCGATGTGGACACCCCCAGCCGCCGCAACCTCCGATCGGAAACATCCGAGCTACATCGTACCATCGGGATTGGACGAATCCCGGCCAGAAGATGGCGGGCGTGGTGGTGATTTTTCAATTCAGTTGCGGCTCCGCCGCAGCCAACGCCCGTAGACGTAGAAGAAGAAGCCATGGTTTCCGGCGAATCCCGCTTTCCCGATCGGATTAGAAGGGGTGAGACGGCGGCGGTTTCCTCCCCGATCCCCAATCACACTCCGAATTTCGGTTCTGGAACAGAGCCGATTGAGAAATTGTTTATCTTCTTTGATTGTGTTAGTTGCTTTTCCCCTCCTCTGTTCCGATAGATGGAGGAAGGAAGAAGGGAGCGAAAACCGCTCTTCTTTTATAAAAATAAAATCCTACGAGGCAGAAACGATGCACATGTCAGAGTTAGCGGGAATTTAATCCTGTAAGCTAGCGACCATACCGGGCTATGGTGGACATATGCAATGGTCGTTATTCACGTGGCCACGAGGTGGTTTGTTGTCGACTCAATGGATCGAAGGGTGGGATTGGGGAGAGTGCAGGGAGGATTGGTGGGGGCGGTTGTAGGGGATAATTTTGGGAGGAGGTTGGATTATACGATGGAAGCTGATGTGGCGTAGGGAGTTAGGAGGGAGCGATCGGGTACAGCTATGGAGTACGTAGATTCGGGGAAAGGGTTGAATTCTGACCGTCGGATGTGGGAAGAGGTTGATGGGAGGAGCATCTAACGTGGAGTGTGCGGGGAGGTTTCCGAAAGGCGTGTGTTTGCACGCTGTGGTTGCATGGTAGAGCAATTCTGACACGCGCTTGGCGCGAACGGAGGTTCACCTGGCACGAGGTGACTGCCACGTTGGAATCCGCTTGCGTGGCGTGGGAACCTTCACCGGAAAAAAGAAGCCTTTTTTTGTTCCCATTCCCATTCCCATATCTTTTTCAATTTTTCATGATGGGTAAAATAAAAACATCAAATTTCAATGCGCATCATGCAGACAAATTTTGGGCTGTTTTTTTCACAAAATTCTACAAATTAATTTATGTTGTTCTGCTCATAATTAGGTTTCAAAATGATTTCATTGAGCTTTTATCTCTTACATGACAATATTATCACACCTAATAAATAAATGTGTAGATGAAGAGGAAAATACGACGAATAGCAAGTAAGTCGATAGAAATTCAATCACAAATTAATTCATTTAAACATTCATGTTATATTACAACATTACAAGTTAATTGGTGAAGTGAGCTCATTCAACAACTATGTATTTGCTATGGAAGCTCTTAATTCCATCGTCCAATGGCTTAACGATCTACCTTTTTCATGGCACACAACACTAATTTGTTGGCTGGAACGACACAGTCTTGACTGGCTAAAACGACACAGTTTTGGCTAAAACGCCCATGCTCCTTCCACATCATACTACGATGGTGTTTCGCTCTTCCAAGTCCTCCTAAGGCCAACAAAGCAGCAGGGCTTCTCATCTTCATCGAGAAAAGCTCTCGTATTCATCGAGAAGCGCTTATGCACGAATACCAGCTCTCCTGTTCTCTCTCTCTCTCTCTCTCTCTCTCTCTCTCAGCAATTTGCTCAAGGAGTAGGCACCACCTCTACAAAAGCTCCTGAAGAGGAGTCATCATGAGACTCTAGCAAAATGACCATCTTCTTCAAATAGCTATTCCTCTCGACTTCTTATAAATTAGTTATCTTCTCCGATTGTAAAGGTTGCCGGTTTGCAGTGAGTAAAACAGTAGAGAGTTTCTTCTACATTGGGTCCATTAATTACTTCAATAGCTTTGTCATAGTGTTGTCGAACTGAATGACTTAAGCTTGGGAAATAATTAGTTCTTTGTTGTGAGTTTAAAGACCCAATTTGATTGGCTTGGCTAGGGTTGCTGGTTGTAATCTGTTATCCTTTTCATTATCAATAAAATCTTTATTGTATTACAAATTATTAAGCAGAGTGATGCAACAAAAGAGTTTGAGTGTCGAGTTTCAAGATCTTCCTCTCATTCTAAGTTAACAATTGGTATCAGAGCAGGATCTTCAAAGGATTAGCAATCGCTGAAGAGGATCAGTTTGGGATGACAGGATCCTCGTCTGCATCAGCTTCATACTCTGCAAGTACGAATCCACCATGGTTTGATGTGACAGATTACACAGTATGGAAAAAGAGGATGAGAATCTATCTCCGTGGCATCGATGGTGACATCTGGGGAATAGTCCGTAAAGGGCCCTCATCTCTACTGGATTCAAGGGCGATGCACATTCTGTTCTCTGCTCTCTGCCCAGAAGAAAGAAGTCAAGTAGCTCAATGCGAGACTACCAAGGAAATATGGGAGTCTCTTCAGATTACCCATGAAGATACGTCAGAGGTAAAGGAAAGTAGAATATATGTGCTTTTAAATGAATATGAATCGTTTGAAATGAGCTCTGGAGAATCAATTTCCAGTATGTATAAAAGGTTTAACGATCTTATTAACAGACTAAAAGGTCTAGGAAAGGTATTTGCCACTAAGGATCTTGTTAGAAAAATACTTAGAAGTCTTCCTAGGGAGTGGTTACCCAAGAGAACTGCAATAGAGGAAGCTAAGAATCTAAATGTTTTATCCATTGAAAGGCTGGTTGGTTCCTTGTTAAGTCACGAAGAAGTCATTATACAAATGAACAAGGAAGATAATCGACGATAAAAGGTCATTGCTTTTAAGGCTCAAGACTATGATAGTGAAACAGAATATGACCTAGGGGATCATTTTGAGAAGGAATTCGCTCTAATTAGTAAAAAATTTCATCGAATGTTGAAAATGAAAAGAGATTTTCAAGACAGAAAAGCCTATAATGAGTCCAGACAGTTTAATCGACCATTTGGGTCTAGAAGGGAAGGTACTGAAAGATTGTCTTTTCGACAATCAGATAGGAATAATTTTAATAAACCTTATGCTGAAAGAAGTTTTTTTAGAACAATTGAGAAACCAAATGAAGGACGAGAAAGATTCAAACAAGAAAGTAAGGAAGACCATAGGTCTTCCAGTGAGAAAGATCTGACAATTTGTTACAAGTGTGGTAAGACAGGACATGTGAGGCCCAAGTGTCCTTTAAATTCCAAAGCTCAAGAAAGGGCATTGGCTGCTACTTGGAGTGATTATAGTTCAGAGGAGGATCTGGAAACGAAGAATCTGGCCTACCTGGCATTTGCCTCCAAATATGAAGATGATGAAACATCCTCAGAAGGTGGTGATCAGACACTTCCATCAAGCTATCAGGTAATCTCTAACTCTGACTCTGAAAACAACACTCAATTCAAATCAAAATCAGATTTCCTGCATGTCTTAAAGAACCTTCAGGAAGAATGTAACATACTTAAAACCAAATACTACTTGCTTATGACTGACAACCATGCCATGATAAATCAAATTGATGCTTTAAAGAGAGAAACAGTCATCCAAAATGAATGTCAGAACCTGCTGCATAAAGAAATCTTTGTTTTAAAAAGGGAAAATTAGGAATTAAGACAAACGTGCTATTACGATCACTCAAAGACTGACATTAACCTAACTAAAGATAGCATGTCTATGTCAAGAAAACTTTGGTAGAAGAAAAACTCTCTAAGGTATACTTTTTATAAAGTAAGTCCTTTTGGTAATAAAACTACAGACTATCCTGTGATATATATTTGTTCTCACTATAAAAGACATGGCCATTTGGCCAAATTCTGTTATGACTTACAAGGGTTGAGGAAACCTGCCGTGTTTAAAACATTTTGGGTACCAAAATGCACTAATCTGTGAATGATTGCAGAATCTGGGAGAAAATGAAAATGTTTGGTACTTGGACAGTGGGTGCTCCCACCACATGACAGGTAGGAAGGAACTATTCTCATCCTTAAACTACAAGAAAGGAGGTAAGGTAGTTTTTGGAGATGACATGGTTGGAGTAATCATGAGAAATGGAACTGTTGGTAAAATCCTTTTCCTGAAGTAAAATATGTCTTGTTTGTTAAGGGTCTAAAATAGAATCTGCTTTCTATCAGTCAACTGTGTAGTTCTGAAAATAGAGTCATTTTTGAAGTATCCTCATGTCAGGTTTTCTAAATTTAAGATAATAAATTATTTCTTGGATATTCACCAAAAGGTCAAGCTTACAGAGTTTACAACCTAAAATACAAGAGAGTTGAAGAGTCAGTATTTGTTAAATTTGATGACTCTGCTTGTTCTGGGAAAATAAATACAGAAAGCATGGAATTTCTGTTTCCTGCCTCAAATGAGGAAAATGAGCAGGAGAAGGTGCATGTTGCATCAGAGGAAGTAAAAGAAGACGACTTTGTATCAATCGAAGAGAAAAATTTCCCTGCACACATACATAGGCGACATCCTCCATCTCAAATCATTGGAAGTCTGAATGATGGTATTCACACTCGAGGTAAATATCGACCAGGTCAGTATGCTTTTGTCTCTCTCTTAGAACCCAAGAATTACAAAGAGGCTTTGAATGATGATGAATGGTTGTGTGTTATGCAAGAAGAACTTATACAATTTGCAAGATTGCATGTCTGGGAACTAGCCCCTAGACCAATTGATAGGCTGATTATAGGAACTAAGTGGGTTCTTAGAAACAAAACAGACGAAGAATGACACATAACTAAAAATAAAGCTAGACTTGTAGCACAAGGCTACTCATAGGAAGAAGGAATTGATTTTGATGAATCATTTGCTCCTGTTGCTCGAATTGAATCTATCAGGCTCCTTTGTGCTTATGCATGTTACATGAAAATACCACTATTTCAAATGGATGTGAAAAGTGCGTTTTTAAATGGAGAAATTAAGGAAGAAGTATATGTTAGTCAGCCTCCTAGTTTTGTTGATCATGAAATCCCAAATCATGTGTACAAACTATCAAAATCCTTATATGGTTTAAAGCAAGCCCCTAGAGCATGGTTTGAAAAACTATCTTCTTTCTTAATAAGTGAAGGTTTCTCTCAAGGAAATGTAGACAAAACATTATTTATAAAAAAGGGAAAACTCTGAGACCTTAATAGTACAAGTGTATGTCGATGATATTGTGTTTGGATCAATTAATCCTTCTATGTGTACCAAGTTCTCTGAGTCTATGAAGGCAAAATTTGAGATGAGTATGATGGGAGAACTCTCTCACTTCCTTGGACTACAGATCAAGCAAACTGAATCAGGTATGTTCATTAGCCAAACTACTTATATTGAATCCATGCTTAAGAAGTTTACTCTGGAGTTTGTGAACCCTTACTTAACCCCATGGCAACAAATCTCAAACTTAACAAGGATGAAACTGGTATATCTTGTTGTGAGAAAAAATACAGA